GATGTGGATGAAGAACTCTTGAGAAGATCGAGAATACGCCGTGTGGAGGGTCCCCACTTTTGTGTGTAGGAGAAAGATAGAAGCGGGTCGTATCCACGCTCTCTGCTAAAGCAAGCTCTTCAGTACCTCGATCGCAATGATGAAGTGGGAGGGTGTCTCGCGCGATAGCTCCTATCTCCTTATCGGTAGGTAGCTCCATTACAAACAACCAGCCACGTAATTGCTTAATCCAGCCCGTCCACCTGTTTGTACTGGGCGGCGCCATCTGAATGATGCGTTGGGCGCGCGTCAAAAACCAGGCGCATGGCTGCAAGGCAAGCGCGTTGCTATCTGACAGAGCCCAGCATAGCTCCAGGCGACGAGAGCCTTCGTCGAGAGGGTACACTGAGGCGCCGTGATCGTCAAATATGAAGTAGTGATCGGGAGTCGAGGTGAGTTGGAGAGCCGTTGGGAGCTTTTGAGAGAGGCGGTGAAGGAGGAAGTAAAGCAAGAACATCGTTTTGCCTAGACAATGAGTCCAACCCCAGAGGGCGTACACTCAGCGTTTATATTTTTCCATGGGTATCAAGAAACGTACCGCATCCAGGCTGTCCAGTTACTGCCATGGCTCTTATGTCCTGAGCATGCCCATTCATTAAGAAGTCGACGAGCAGGTCGTAGTCGGCCAACACGACGAGCACATCCGAGGTCGAGTCCTCGACGTCGACGTTCGAGACGGGGCGGAAAGCCCGTACAAGCGAATTTATGTCGGTGAGGCAGTCATATTCGTACTCGTACGTCTCTGTTTGAATGGCATGGGGCCCCTCATCTGGCTCGGTATATGTGGTAGGTTCCTTGTGAGTGTTTATCTGATGCGAGTCGCTATCGCTTGGCTGATGTTTCAAAGGGGCAATAGAGGTCCTTGTCTGACGAGGCCATTGCACCCCCCAAGCTTTGGCATAGAAAGTGGTCGCATTGCTCTTGAGGGTGGCGAGTAGAGATGGAAAAGGGGAATGTTCTTGCTCCATGGTAGGTCGTGGACGCAGCCGGTAAGATGCAAGGCGCGAGTTCGAAAGTCGGTGATGCGGTCCAATGAATCTGGCAGATTGGCAATGACATTATGGTGCGACTGTAATACGGTTTGCTCAGAACCATCACCAATACCCTCACATAAAGTGTGAACAATTCACTTTTGCAGACGCAAGAGCATACGAACGCTGTACGCGAGCACGTCTTGCCACTTCGGGGTTTTTCGCTTTGATCAAGTGACTTTCCTCCCTCTCACAAAGAAAGAAAAATGTGACTCAAGCGCTGGCGAGGGTTGCTGTCTCACTCTTATTGTCAGATACTGGCGAGAGGGGCGTCGCGTAATATTCCGCCATTGTTTTTCATTCAAACCAAAATTGCATGGTACATGATCCAAACTAATAGGAACTGCCTATTGTTTACGAGAAAGACGGGCTGTTATATGACTCATGGCTTCGGTTAGAAGTTCTCGGTTCCATTCCACCATGACCTGTAGCTAGCCTCAGAACGTTAAGATTTGCATCAGTTCTTCAGGCCTCGGCAATGCGCTCTCGCCAACTTTGGTACAGCGGAGAGATTGGATATGACGTTCTCGCGACATGAGATAACACAATGTCGTCTGGCGGTAGGGCCAGAATATTGGTTCTCATAGTCATATCCGACGGTAGAAGCTGCTCGAGACAAGAACGAGACAGTTGCTGACGCGAACCATCCACCGGACCAGCAGGCTTGGGACTTATTTCTTGAAACGATTCCACTGTATGCACAATTGTTTATAGTGAAGATCAGCAGCATGCTTTGCGTCATATAAGCGCTACACGGTTCCCGCTTGAGGGTACCATGTTCGACGAGTCCGGCGAGCAAAGTGGGCACGGGAACGCGAGTCGTAGTGCAAGGACGACGGTCCTAATGCTGCTTCATTCGGAGAGCTTCTGCCCCATGACCTGTCTGAATTCAACTCCAGCAGAACGTAGTCATTCGATCTAGTCTTTTGTCGACGAGCAAAGTGTTCATCGCCGGACGAGTGATTTGACTATTGCAGATGTAAAGAGTCACATCGTCACGCGACAAGTCTGGAAATCACACATTCTCATTCCTAGTAGACAGAACGATAGATACAATTTGCACCCTAAGCAATGATATATAAACAGTTGATCTTTCACATAGTAGCTCCAGAGCGCTGCAAGACAAAAAGGGTGAAAGATAGGAAAACAGCGATAGCAATCCGTTCGCCTGAGAGGACCAATGAGCTTCTGAGAGCGTCGGATTTTGAGGAGGCACCCGGACTCACCTGTTGCCCTAGACCAAGAGCTTGTCACGAGTCATACCAGTCTCCTCGCTCTCTTCAGCTCACAAACACAACTTCTGTCCCCGATTCGGCTTCGGTCTACAGCACCGTCTACTCGTGATTTCCCAGCCGCCGCCGCTCAGCATTCGCCAGCTTCGTCTGCTTCGCCTCCCGCCTCTTCTTCCCTGCGTCCTTCTGTCTGTGCCATTCTTCTGGCGGCACTGGGTCATTGTCTATGATCTCGAAGGCTCTGCCGCCAGCGCCTGTCGTCTCGTCTCCTCCGTCTGTACCTTTCTCTTCGCCAACTTCAGCGCCTCACCTTTCTCCTGCTCAGCTTTTGAATCCTCTGTGTTGTCCTCCACTTCTATTACAAAAGGTGGCGGCTTCTCTCCTCCCGTAGTCAGCTGGCTTATGTGACTGGCTGGCGGTACGTCGTCGCCATTCTGATGAAGAGACGTGTCCTGCTCCTCGACAGGCTTCGCGTCGCTGCTGTCGCTCACACCGCTCGGAGAGACAGATGGAGATGGATTCGAAGTCGACGGGGGGCTTGCTCGGCAAGATGAGGCGGGATCGGATGTGGGAAGGGAAGTGGAAGACGAAACATCGGTAGGGGTCGTTTTTGACGGGCTGCACCGCGCTCTAAATTAGTTTCATCCTCTATGGACTTTGATGCCAGTAGCGCACCTTGCTAGAACCGACTGGTCTAGATCTGTCCCTTTACCCTTCGTCCTCTCATTCTCATTGTGCTCGCTTGTGATCCAATGGCCGCCTTGAACGAGGAGAAGATCGAGTCCGGAGCCAGCCGCCTGCGCTTCTAGCAGGAGTCTCTCTTTGGTGTTGTTCGACTCCGGGTCGTTGAAGCCTGTCATCTCCACCGTCACGCTAGGTTCTCCTAGAGACGTGCACTCTGCCTGGAACCTATATATGACCTTCTCGACGTCGTATACGGGGACGCAATTTTCGTCTATCGAAGCGTCAATGCTGAGGTGCCGGAGTTTAGATAGGATGAAAACACGGCCGGTTGGGGTATCGGGTGCTGCCAAGCACTGAAATAGGTGAAAAAGTAGGCTGCTGTTAGGAGATTGTCTGTGATCGGGATGGCACGAGATGTTTAGACGCGTGACGTTTGGTAGGCCTCGGAGTATGTCCCGCCATGCTCGCTTTTCCAGCTTGGGGGTCTCTTGCGAAGACATAATGACCACATCAAGCACGGTGACCTTTGATAGGCCAGTCTCAAGTTCTGTGAGACTGCTAAACGCGCGCGGGAGGTACACCAAGTCTCCCTCGAGGACGAAGGAGCATGACGGCTCATCTTCCTTGTGAGATCCCAAAGAGATGGTGGTGCCCGTCATTTTCAAGTAAAGATCTCCTTTGATGTAATGGCGCATGTTCTTCAAGAGCGCGATCAAGACCTTGTATTTGGGATCGGAGATGTGGAAGCGGAGATCCCGGCTAGGTTTTAGCGCGCTGATGAAGGGTTCCATTCCAGACGTTGGTGAACTTTTGCCGATATTCCTAATGTCAAGTCGCTGAAGATAGTTGAGCAGTTTGACGGCTTCGACTGCGCTGCTCTGCCCGCTCCCTTGGAAGTGTACGGAGGGTAGGTCGTGTAGGACAAGCTCCCGTAGCTGCGCGCAACCCTTGAGAGAGGACGCCAGGCTCTTGTCGTTGATGTTACGGCACTTTCTGATCTTCAAGGTCGAGAGGTGGTGTGCGTTGATTGGGGGAAGCTCTCCCTTCAGACCATAGAGGTCGAGCACACCAAACGAGGCCCCGGGAAGGATGGCAAGGAGAATGGGGCCAGCGAGTCTTGCGTGGATTTTGCTGATGGATATGGCGCTCGTCCTGTGCGCTTCCTTTCGTATCGCGTGAAGGAGTTCTACACTCAGCGCTTCGCGAATGTGAACATGAAGCTGACGCTGGCGAGCTAGGTCGAGATAAAAAACCCAGGCGTCGATACCGCGATATGGTCTCATGTCATATGCCCAACGCTCTGAAGTGCCAATGACCACACCACGAAACCACCTGCACACTTGCGTGAGGGACCGATAAGTCAGGTCTGCCTTTCCTCTGTGAGTGACGTATGGTAGCTCCAGGACGATGTAGCGCAGAATCTCGTCCGGAAGATCCCTGACCGTGCGTGCCGGTTGACTGGGAGAGTACATGAACTGCGATGATGAGGATGAGCCAGTTCCACGAGTTTACTGCCGAGGGAAAAAAGCAGAGTGGGAGAGAGGTGACCGTTCACGGATGAGCCTGATGGGTTTTAAGATGTAGCGAGACGAAACGTGGTTGATGACTGACGCGCGCACCCACACACACACGGAGGTTGATCGATATCTGGAAAACCACTCCCCAATCGATGCCTTATGAGCCGTTTGAGACGGTGTGGTTGTGGTTTGGCCTTTAATGGGTGGTTAATCTGGCGAATATCGGCTGCGATAATGACGGTATGCTACATGTAGGAAGACCCATCAAAGTGGTCATCCACCGCGACACAACAACCTGCAACGCCGCCGGTCCATCGTGTCTTAAGATACGTCGGTGCATCGCAATACAAGTCCATTTGTTGCACCATCGTTTCAGTGGCAGACTGCACATTCATAACCATATGGGAATATACCCCTGCATAATCCGGTGACAATGACGTGTGAGGAACGGCTTTGCGCACGGTATATACAATACTTTCACCCTTGAAGACGTGTGACTTTGTTATCGTTTACGACTTGGACGTCCTTTATCTACTCTATTCTGCACATGTATGCTCATGATGAACTGTAATGCATGATGAAGACCTTTGCGCTCAGCTCTTGTGCAGGTGATGTTTTCCGCTAGTAGTCTTAGCATTGCACAACGGCGCATCTGCGAGCGTTCGTGGTGATGATTGGTCAGGAAGAGCTCACGCAGACGTCAGCAAGTAAGGTGTACTGACCCACGACTGCTCTGGCAGGCTGTGAAGAAACGGCCTGTTACGTTGAGATTGCAAGCCTGCCCATACTCGCAGTCGGCCAATTCCATGAACGAGATCGACCTGAACAAAATACGCTTGCACGATAAATCATTCTGATACCCAGTAATGCCTCCAAATCCCAAATCCATAGTACTCGTGCTCATAAACAAACAGCGTAGCTGGTGAATTTGGGGATTGCGGGAGGACTAGGACTTCCATCGTTCAAACCGCGTGCGGGGCCCACAGAGTCTGGGAGCCGAGATAGTGAAGGATGTCCAGCCACGCAGCTTGGGACACTTCCTGGTAGACGCCGCCAGTGGCGTTTGGGTGCGTTGGCGTTAACATTTTGTAGGTTGGCGTTGTGATTGCCAGAGGTATTGAAGCCGCCATGGGCGTTGACGTTGACGACAGAGCCGAGGTGCCCAAAGTTGGCTCTGTTTGTGTAATCTCATCAGGCGAAAGTGGAACAGTACGGCTACTGACTCGTACCGAGCTCTTCAAAGCTCAAAAGATCGCAAAGCATACCAAAGAGGTCTTCTCTCACTCTCTCTCGAAGCCGTTGACAGGGACCGTAGTCAGGAAGATACATATCAACTAGAGCACGGGGCGGCAAGAGTAATAGACGTGTAGACATATAGTGAGTCGATACATCATATTGAAATGCCACACCAGGGGCATACATCAAACCGAAGGTCCAGCTTCTCTCTGCCCTGTGTCATTCTCTCCAGCTCCTCCCCGGCCTTGACACTCCGAGCGCGCAGGCTTGCCTCTTGCCCGCCCATTTGCCCGCTTATTTATCACACCTTCCTCCTCAAAGAGCACGAGCCAATCGCGCAATCCACTGAAAGGATGATGGCGCAAGTCACCTTCCAGTGCAATGGCTATCCAGCGACGTGCTGTGAGAACTTCGTCCATGTTCCCCGAGATAGATGCAAACGTAGGGCGAACGATGGACTTCCTAGTGAGATATCAAAGAATATTGTTTTCGGCATTGCTGAGCTCGCGCAGTGAAGCGTTGACCTCCTCTTTCACTTCAAACGCCTTTGCACTTTGTTCAGGATTCACAGGTGTAAGGGGTGTGTGCGGAGTAAGCCCTGTAGGTGCGTCGACTCTTCGACATAATATGAGTTCGGGACGAGTATACCCTTGATGCAGGTGATATGATACCAGCTTAGACAGCTGACCCTCGGGCAGAATACTTGGTAGAATGCGTCTAGGGTTGTACTCCGGGTGGTACAGGACTCCAGGCCGCACAAAGATTTGCCATTCACCTCCTGATATATCGGCGTTCTGTCAGCCCCCCTGAAGGTATATTAGATAGCTGTAACAGTAGCGTACGTAGACGTGTCCCGAAGGTATCTTTGCGGGGTGCAAGAAGTTGATCTCGAAGAGTACGGGGCGGTTGTCGGACATTTGTACGCTATCTTGCAACAGGTCGGATGGGCCTGAAAGTAATCAAACCGGCCTACGGTGCGCGGAGATAAAAGTTTGAATACGTGGCAGCCACAAGAAAGCTCATCTTGGTGGCGGCAGCAGTGCCTGTCACTGTTCATCCAGTATGGCTCGCACAGTTCCCCATCTAGATCAGTGCCATTCGACATGGAGGCGAGCCATATATTGAGTGAAATAGTCTTGATGGACTTCGCTCCCGTATCAGCATACATATCGGCTATACCTCGCTTTGTGCTGGTGCTAGTGCATGTGTCACTTGTCCCGATATAGCTGGCACAAATCGACATTCCGAGAAGTGCCATCTGATATTCCTCCAGTGCGGCCATCAATCGAGAGGCGCATCCTATGGCTAGTACGATATCCTCGAGGAGTATTACTATCGTCTTGATACACCTCTGAAGTATACTGTCCATGCTATTGAAAGCTACGCCGGGCATACTTCATTCATTACGAGACGCTCCGTCCGGATAAGTGTTAATCAAGACGCACATCTTTTGCTGAGTACCGTGTTCTCAATCACTCCAGCCAATGCTCTAGTCTGTACACCAGCTTTAATCCTCACAGTCTTGGTAATAACAGCGGTCCTGCTTCTTCGAGTACGGCTGACACGAATTGGCGTCTCAAAATGTGCTATTTTATTTTTCTCTCATGCGGCCATCTAGGGAGAGACACGTATTTTGCCGGGTACGCAACGCTTGACGTATTTAACTGCTGCATCTATATACCTCTCAGATACAACTGTTCTGCTATCGAGAGCTGCGCCGGTTAGGGTTCGCTCAGTACGACGTGCACAGTTTGCCATCCGGTTAAGCGCCACTTGACCTTTCTTCACAACAGCCTTTCATCGAGAGTCACATCTCAGAAAAAAAATGTGTGTGATGGCTGACACCATGTTCTAGCCGAGCCTCTGAGCCACACCAGCCCGATGGCAGTAGCAGCGCTGCTTCTGCTTGGTCCAGCACAGTTTACGGATTTGGCGTTTGCAGAGGTAACAATCGACGTTACCTTACCTCGTCTTTTGCTTAGTACAACGCAATTGATAGGTCACAGTCTCACCTAGATATACAAATAACCTAAGCTTTTGTTGCTATTCATGACAGCGATGGCCGCGGTACATCCAAGCTCGGAGTCTTGAGAAGTGCCCTTCGAGCGCTCCCCAGCGCGCCCGTTAATTGTGAGATGCAATTTATTTCTGAGCACGCTGTTCTTAAACAGTGAAACCACCATATAAGCATCCCAATTTGCTATACTAAAACCGCTGACGGAGTTAGTGTAGGTTGTGGTTGTCCAAGTACGGCTTGTGCTGTTTTGCGTGCGGAAAAGTACCGATCGATCTTCCCGACTACAGTCATAAACTGAGAGATACGTCTCTTGCTGAGAGCACTATCATTTATCAGTGTCTCTACCGTTAGCGAGTGCCTACAAAGTATACCGTTCACTTTGGCTGTAGCGGTGCCGACCGCGCTGCGTTCAGTAAGGTTGGTGCCGTTTGGCGTTTGGAGAAGTGCTGTTCGAGGGTTTTTCAGTGCAGTCTTCAATCAACAGACTCGTGAATTGTTGAGTACGGTATCCTTGACCACTTGTAGTGACCTTCATGTAAATACATGTGTTGGCTTTGAAACTACTAGTCGTGGAGGTTCCAGTGATGCTCCTTGAAGTATGTCGCGCGCCGTTCGGGTTCTGCATCACTGCCTCTTGCCGTAGTCTACAGAGTACCCCAGGAGACCTCCATCTTCCCCCCGACAGTCCTTGGGGGGTGCCTTGCAGTAATTTTATCAGGCAGAGCCACTGTAGATAGATTGTACTGGGACAACTGGCTGTCCGTTTGAGACATCATCTCAGAGAAGTCCTTCTCTGTCCGTGTTTTTCTGTTCAGCCTCTTCTTCACCCAAGCTGACACAGAGACGACGTCCCGTTAGAATACATCCAGCTACGCTTTCTCTTCGGGAGCCCACTGGCAGCTTTCAATACTACAATGCGGTTGAACAGAGTGTTCTGGTACAGGGCCATGTCGTGCTACGGGTTCTGCGCTGAAAGAGGATTACAAGCCAGATGGCTCATGACACTGATCTTAATGAAAGACACGCTAAAGGGGCAGGCTACGGCACTTGGGTGTCTAGAAATAAAACATGTAATCTCGGCGCTCAGCACCTTTGAGCCGTTCCTGATGGACCCCGATGGTCTCTCCTACCCGCTCAGACATATACGCGTGAGAATCTGGCCCTACTGTAATGTCTTCAACCGTTGTCTGCTCGGACAGGAGCAGGTTCCTAAGCATGGTCACCGCCGATGGTGATACTTCCTCGTTTACCACATCCTCGTCATCAGCCCAACCTATTCCCATTATCACCAGTCTCTTCACGGTCCCCAAGATGCGGAGCGCCCCACCAGTTGCAGACAAGGCATCGAAGCCCTTGCGCAGGAGACCCCGCCCCGTGATCCTATCAGCGCGTAGCCATTCAAGCCTCCCGGCCTCACGAAACAGAGACTGCCAGGCCGCAGGTGATGTTTCTGGCAATTTCCATTCTCTCTCACGGAAGGAAATGCACTCAACACCAGCAAATGCCTCAAATGGAATCAACATCTCAGGTGAGAATCCATCCGAAACAGACTGGAAGGAATGGTCCATGCCAATGATCAGCTGGAAATCTGGGGGAGGGGGCTCCTGGTATCCCTTCAAGTCTCCCTTGAGGTACTCGCTAGTACCCTCACGCCAGGCTGAGCATACGATGGCCCTCGAAGATGATAGCGGTACAGGTCCGGTGTGCAGGGGTGTCCGTTGATCCGACCAATCGGGCGCATATGCTAGCCATTCTACCACCTTCATGTTCAGCAAAGGGGAGTTGATTTGGGAGAGCATGCGCCTGGCAACGGCCTCCCTAAACAAGCTGGGGACGGGTGGAAAGAACGGTGCTTGGTCCCGAGCGACGAACGTCATACGAGCCGTCTGGGCAGGTACAAGCCGGCTCATTAGTATGAGCACCGTAGGTGGATCGAAAATATCAACGAGTACATGGCGGAGGTTTGGGCATCTGATTTCTTTTCCGTCCTCGTGCGTGGGCACATCCTCGTCCTCAGGGAGGGCAATCCAACCCTGAAATGTGAAAGACTCTAGGGCGGGTTGAGAGTTCAAGAGATCAATGATTTCCCGGGTCGGCGAGGTCATGAGCGTGCTGTTGGCGTTTGCGTCGACTGTGAGCGAAAGATGTGTGAGTTGGTGGACGAGAAGCCGGTGCTTCAGATCGATGACGACGTTGTGCATGTACACATCCCGAAGGTGAGGAAAATCGGATACCAGTCTGTGTTCAGGGACCTCTGGGAGCACTATCAGGTCTTCCCCGTGGTGCTCAACGTGCATGTGAAGCCGACGGAGAGTGGGCGGGTATAAGGCATGGAGATGGAATGGCATAGCCGCGGCATTGTGCGATCCATGAGCGAGGACACATAGACTTTCCATATGTGTCAGATCGCAAGACGCCATAAGGTCACTCGTCTGATCGAGGATTTCGTCCGCCCGTATGACGATTGCAACTGGACGCCAACCCGCATATTCCAGCCTCTTCCGAAACCACTTCATCCCATCCAGA